AAAAAAGGGGGAAAAAGGGGAAAAAAAGGGGAAAAAAGGGGGAAAAAAAGGGGAAAAAGGGGAAAAAAGGGGAAAAAAGGGAAAAAAAGGCGTTATTCCCAAAGAACCTCATGGAGCTGGAGGATCCCAACATCCTGATCCCAACATCCTGATCCCAACCCCATTCCCATTTCCCCTTTTCCCATTCCCATCCCAACATCCTGATCCCATTCCCATTCCCTTTTCCCATTCCCAGTGCCCCCGGAGACGGCGCTATTCCCAAAGAATGCCGTGGAGCTGGAGGATCCCAACATCCTGATCCCAACATCCTGATCCCAACATCCTGATCCCAACCCCATTCCCATTCCCAGATCCCAACCTCCTGATCCCAACCCCATTCCCATTCCCCCTTTCCCTCATTCCCAGTGCCCCCAGAGATGGTGTTATTCCCAAAGAACCTCATGGAACTGGAGGATCCCAACATCCTGATCCCAACATCCTGATCCCAACATCCTGATCCCAACCCCATTCCCATTCCCCTTTCCCATTCCCATCCCAACATCCTGATCCCAACATCCTGATCCCAACATCCTGATCCCAACCCCATTCCCATTCCCAGTGCCCCCGGAGACGGTGCTGTTCCCGAAGAACCTCATGGAGCTGGAGGATCCCAATATCCTGATCCCAACATCCTGATCCCATTCCCATTCCCCCCATTCCCATTCCCAGTGCCCCCGGAGACGGCGCTGTTCCCGAAGAACGCCGTGGAGCTGGAGGATCCCAACGTCCTCATCTGCTACATCACCAAGTTCTGGCCTCCCGTGGCTTCCATCACCTGGTTCCGGAACGGGAACGTCGTGTCCGAGGGGGTCCTGGAGACGGTGTTTTATCCCGGCCCCGACAACACCTTCCGGAAGTTTTCCTACCTCCCGTTCATCCCGCGCCGGGGGGAGTACTACGACTGCAGGGTGGAGCACGAGGGGCTCCGGGAGCCAAGGAAGACGCACTGGGGTGAGGAATTCCCACTGGGAATGGGGTGGGAATGGGCAGGAATGGGGCAGGAGAAGGTGGGATGAAGGGGGAATGGGGTGAGGAATTCCCACCGGGAATGGGGTGGGAGAAGGTGGGATTGGAGTGGGAATGGGGCAGGAGAAGGTGGGATGAAGGGGGAAAGGGGTGAGGAATTCCCGGTGGGAATGGGGTGGGATTGGGATGGGAGAAGGTGGGAAAGGGGTGGGAATGTGGTGAGGAATTCCCGGTGGGAATGGGGTGGGAATGGGGTGAGGAATTCCTGATGGGAATGGGGTGGGAATGGGGTGGGATTATTCCAACTGTCGGGTGGAGCACGAGGGGCTCCATGAGCCAAGGAAGACGCACTGGGGTGAGGAATTCCCGGCGGGAATGGGGTGGGAATGGGTGGGATGAAGGGGGAATGGGGTGAGGAATTCCCGGCGGGAATGGGGTGGGAATGGGGCAGGAGAAGGTGGGATGAAGGGGGAATGGGGTGAGGAATTCCCGGCGGGAATGGGGTGGGAATGGGATGGGAATGGGGTAGGAGAAGGTGGGATGAAGGGGGAATGGGGTGAGGAATTCCCAGCGGGAATGGGGTGGGAATGGGGAGGGAGAAGGTGGGATGAAGGGGGAATGGGGTGAGGAATTCCCACTGG